GTGCAGGTGGTGGTATGTGTGTCTGAGATGAGGCAGAGGCGGGTTTTGATCATTATGTAGATACTCCGTAGTCCGTACTTGTGTTGTAGATGTGTTGTAGAAGTGTAGTAGGCAGAGTGTGGTGCAGGTTGTTGTAGTGGATGAGTAGAGAATGGTTCTACGTACTAGTACCCGTAACGATAAACTAAATCCATTAGATGCAAGAACATAAGGATCATCCCATTGATTGACAGCTCAGAGCTCTACAGACATTGCACCCGCCGGATGCCCAGATCATGATAATTTTCTGGAAAACATTGCTGAAACTCCGAAACCACCCTTTTACACGACGCGCAACGCAACGCAATTATCCCACAAATTTTTTTTTTTACTTGCGGATAGCACGCTGGTAGAAAGCCAGCTCGTCACCCTCCAGGATGTAACCGTCCACACGACCGCTCTGGCCGGGGCGGGAGGCGATGACGGCGTACAGGCGACCGGACTCGAACTGCTTCTCGATGGCGGTCTCGACCTTGCCGTGGTCGGCGAAGCGAGCGGCCTGCTTCTTCACGACGCTGTTGCTCTTCTTCTCGGCGGTGGTCTCGGCGGCCTTCTGCTGGCGTCTCCGGCCGATGGGCTGGCCGTAGTGAGCCTCGTACCATTGTCTGAAGGGAGCGGCATCAATCTGAACGACGGCGGACTTGGTCAGGGTGTTGGTGCGGACCAGTTCGTTGTTGGAGGGGTGGTAGGCCACAACGATGACACGGGTCTTGCGGGAGATGCCCTCGGAACCCCACGAGAAGTTGCCCGACTCGAGACGGAGGGCACGGAACTTGCGGTTGCCACCACGGGTGCGGACCAGGTGGATTCTCTTAGCACCGATACGGGTGTTGGCGGGCTGGCGACCCTTCTCGAACGCCCTGCAGAGTATTTCGGTCAGATCAGACTGTACACAGCAAGGATGACTCGAGGGTTGTATCGTACCTCTTCTTGCGGTAGGTGGCCCTCTTCGCACCGGTGGCCGAACGCTTGTGGCGGGAGTCGCGTGAGATACCCATGTTTGCGGTTGATGTAGGGAACTGTAGTTCGCAAAAAGTCCAGGTCAGCCAGGGGACTGCAATGAAACTGCGTCCTGGTCCTTCAATTTTCCTTCCGTTCGCTCGCGTCAAGTACCGATATCGAGTGCTCGCAACAGTTGTCGAACCAAGTAGGAAAATAATCTTTCGAAGAAAACCAAGATGCTGTCCTTGTATTCGTTGTCTCTTTCCAACTCAATTCTGAACCGCCAAACCGCCAACGAAACTGTCACGATACACCGACCGAACCTCTCGACAAACCGGAAGAAAATCGAAAAGACCAGAATGCAAGAAGCAGCACGGGTAACTCACCTCTAACTCTGCAGCCCTTCACCAGGAACGCAGCGGGCAAGGGTCGTTGGGTTGTCGTGGAACTCAGTTGATGTTGCTGGTCGTCGACTCTCGGGAATTTCGCAGTGTGGCTCGCTTGTCGAAAGTTGCCCTACCCCAAAGTGCGCGCTAGCCGGAGGGGGCTAGTACGGGCACGTGATTGCATTAGATAAGTAACCCATAGACATAGACAGTACTTGAACTAAGGTACTACAGAGTAGATGGAAATAGGATATGCTTTATCACTTGCGATGCTCCCTCTTCACCCTCTCCTCCCTCACCATCTGATCAATCCTCCGCCACACCGGAAACCCCTCCACAACATTCGACACCATCCACGCAACCCACAACCCAGACGCAACCCGCACCCCATGCGGCCTCAACCTCGTAACCGCCAACAGCGTCGCCTCCAGCAAATGCGCGCCCAGCATCAACCCCACCACCACCGGCGCAACATCGTAGCAGAACCGCGTAAACGCCGGATACCGGTCCAGCCCCGCCATCTCGTAGAACACACTCCCCGGCAGGAAATTGCTCCGCCGACTAAACACCACCAGCGTCGCGACCACTAAGCCTAGGGAGACGATCTGGAACCCGTGAGGGGGCCGGTACTCGCGGATGAGGATGTCGGAGAGGCCCAGGCGCTGGAGACAGTCGTTGTGCATGGCGACGACGCGGGCGCGGGTCTCGGAGAGGGAGGTCATGGGTGGGTTGATGGGGACGCTGTAGCGGGTGCCTTTTGCGGTGATGAGGAGGTCGGAGAGGGTGATGTCTTGGAGGATGGCGGGTTGGGCGTCGGGGGCGGAGACGCCGCAGTAGACTCGGAGGTAGAGGGAGAGGGAGTCGGCATGGCTGGTGTTCATGTGGCTGATTATGAAGGATTTGTTGGTTGCCATTGTGACACTGTCTCTGCTCGTCTCTGCTTGGTGTCTTGGGATTCGTTCGGATAGCCTCTGGTCAATTGGTCTCATCATGCCATGATGTATCACGTGAGCAATGGGCCTTCTGACATATCATAGTAAGGCTTCAAGTGTAAACATACATTTCTATTCGTATCATCTACCGTCGCCTACGTTGCACCTTGATAAAGGTACTACTACTCTGGAAGAGACATTGACTCCACTGACTGATCAGTTGACGCGATCGTGCAAACGCTAATATCCTGAGCAACACCATTTCCACAGAAGGATCGCGCTGAACATTAAATGGGTAACCAGACTCTATTACAACATGACAAAGTAAAGCTATTCAATCGTGACGAATCATCATGGACTCATGAAGAGGACAGTACAGCAGCGTGCTGTCTCCGGCAAGAGGACAATTATGCACTGCATCGATGCGTCAACTCCTATTCGATTTGAGCGGATGAATGGGCATTTCAATGGACGGGGCAGACATACATCAAAGCCAGCGTCAGATCACCGTGGATATGAGCCTTGAGCTCGACCTCGATCTCGAGATTCAGCTCCAACTTGAGCTTCATGCCCTCCTCGTCGTCCAGACTCGACCCCTGCTTCTGCTGCGGTAACACGTTCATCGACCCGTTCTGGGTGATGGACTGGTCGCCGCCGGCGGGTTGGTACGGCTGCATGGCCTTGCCCGAGGCGACTTGGTCATCGTAGTCGTCTTCGTCGTCGTATTCATCCGAGTAGAAATCCTCGTCGTCGGAGAACTCGTCGTCGTCATCGGCTTCTTCTACGGCGTCTTGTTGTCTGCTTAGTCGTTGGCGCTGGCGACGTTTCTGCTGAGCCTTGGGGTCCTCGGCTTCATCGCCGGAGACCTCGTAGTCGTCGGTTTCGTAGTCTTCATCGGAGTAGTCGTCTGAGTAGTCATCCGAGTAATCCTCTTCCTGGAGGTTGGGCTGTTGTTGCTGTTCTTTTGTTTTCTCTGCGGTGGCCATTGTGTGTGTATATTTTAGAAGCGGGAGGTATATAGTTACAGTCAAGTTGGAACAGAATGAAAATATCAATAGTTAATAAAGAAGAAATCACTGCGTACTCGAATCAAGCCAGTCGACGCACTGTAGGCAACTACAGCCACTACGACTATCGTCATCATATGGGATATGATATGTGGTGATCCTTGATCGGGCAGAAGCCACCTACGCGATGAGACAGGCCCTTGGATGTGCCGCCATGACGTTACAGCATCATTCTCCCGTTGGCTTCATAAATATCATTGGAAAGGTGTGGGGAAATCTTTGCACCTGAAAGGTAATAATTACTTGACTATGATACGGAACTGTGTATCCGCCACTCTTCTGTAAAAGTCTCCTCCTTTATCCATGGACCAGAGAAGGTCAAACTTGTTCTGACAGCAGAATCTTCGCGTGGTCGCTACCATTCGTTCTCTCCTCTGGTACAATTCATTGTCATCGGCTGAATTACTATGGTTCCAAGGGTGTGTGCCATCCCTATCATTATCCTGTAGCACCTCTGGAGAGGCAGTACGTAGGACATGTACAGCAGAGAGCTGTAGACTGACGTCGAGTGGCGTCATTGTACGCTTCTGATATCCGATATGATAATATTACGGAGTAGAGACCAACTAATACTGTACTAATAATAATCATAGCCAAGTGGAGAAGCCAACCGCGCCGTCTCCTGCCAAATTTCCCGTGCGTCCAACTACTGGTTCTTTGACAAATTGACTCTATCCATTGCCCTTGTAGTACAGCCCTGCAGCCAGACGTCATACTGAGCAAGTCAAGGTGCTTGATGTCTATCCAGTATCCAGAGCATCCAACCATCCTACTCAGTCCAGATGACGCGGATCCCGTCAACCTCCCCTCCTACCTGTCAGGTCAAGCACCAACTCACTGACGTACGAGGCGGGCTGCCCATCCATATAAACACGCACTCGAGCCAGACAATACTATAAACACCCTGTCATCCCTCCATCCTCCCGCCCATCTTTAGTCTCTTTCCACCATGTCCGATCAGGAAAACGAACACAGTCGTCCCTCCAGTCCTAAACCCACCCCTACCCAGACAGAAGAGGGTGCCCCTCCCACCCCCAAGACAGACACCCAGACACCAACCAAGAAGCCTCCCAAGCTAGGCAAGAAGAAGCCTCAACCTCAACCTCAACCAGACAGCAACAACGACAACGACAACAACACCAAAGAACCGCAAGAGGCCGACGGCGAGACCACCGACCCTCAGCCACAGCCCCAAGAGCAACAGCAACAGCAAGACCAAGACCAAGAACCACAACCTCAAGAACAACCGCGCCCCCGCAGAAAGAAACCCCAGCCCCAGCGCTACCGCCCCGACTCAGACACCGAG